GTTCGTTTGCAAAAAGGCACAATGTGAATGCAAACCACACCAAACGAAAAAAAAAGTCCATTTTTGGTCCGGACCAAACAATTGGACCAAAGGACTTTCTTGGTCTGAATACACCCAGATTATTTTGAAACTTAAAACCTTAAAAAGGACATACTTGAACATATTTTGATCTGTGCGCCAATATAAGGGGCAAGAGTCATTCTGTGTCTCCTCCCCTGCTGCTCTCACATTGAGTTTTGTTTCGACGCCTCTCTCGATCCCACTTTTAGAGCCCTTCTAGTCATACATTTGTTACAGTAGTTTTTACAGTTTAGGTGTTTTGCACTCTCACGCCATACAATTAATGTATTACATACAAACAAAACCTAGAAATCACATTTTTGTCCCTCCATAGTCACATTATTGTACAACCTTTTAACTAAAAGGTATTTTTGTACTATTTTTATTTTATATTCTAAACATATACTGGTTTAAAATTTTTAAATGTGTTTTTGGATGACGTACAGGTTATTTGCCTTGGCACCAGCTGAAGGTGAACCATATGAAACGAGCCTAATTCTGCTTTGCAAACAATAATTTGTCAGCATCTGCTCCCACTTAGATACTGCAGCTATTTGGTGATGATGAAGAGGGCACTGGTCCTGTGTTTTTGTTAACCAGCTCTTATTTTGGACCCGTTTCTGACTGATGAGCTGCTGTGAGGCTCGGAGTTGCGTTTTGATTACCATAACTGCAGAAGACTAAGACGACCTCTCAGACCCTTTCCAACACAAAAACACAAAGGAAAACAAAAAAAGAACTGAGCTGTCTGCACTGATTTCACTTCTACTTCACAAACCCTCCAGCTGGTGTGAGAGAGAAAATCATAACAGCCTTCGTGGCCATTTCTTCTATTTGGTTGATTCAAACAACCAAAATGGACATCGGTTTTAGTGACCAAGATGTCAGCAGCTGTTGGACAGAGACTCGGGTCGGCACGAAGCAGACCACGATGGCAGACGTTCAACATATGGAACCACTAACGAACAGCTAGCATGATTGATGAGACCTGTCAGTCTGGAGAGGGAAGCAGATACCCTTGATGTGTGCGTGTGTGAGTGTGTGCACTAAGKTGTGTATGGGTGCATGTTTATTAGCTGGAAGGGAATGACCAAATAAAACGTCCTCACGCTTGATAAATGAAAAGCAAACAGTCAGGATTCGTAAATAGTTTTAGTTTGAGAATCAAAAAGAACAWAAATATTTTTGAATCGACATGTTCACACRTTGACTGAATAAGACATAATCAGACAACCTTAATGAGTCGTTTCATTTTGTAGTTTCGGTGCACAGCCAAWAGCCGACACAACTTTCTGTTCTCACACTCCAGTTAAGGCTGCAGTGCAAAGGAAACATCTTCAGCAGCCAAGAAACTTGCTGTTGTTAAGAAACGTGGCATTTCAACTGACAAACTCAATTAGCAAATGGATAGAAAATTACACCGTCTCACAGAAAAGACTGAATTCATTTCAGATTAAAGGACTTGAAGTAGGTAGAAGAGGACTTGYACATTTGCCATTTAGCTGCCTAAATATATCTTTAATTGTCCTGCTTTCTGGGTTTTTTGTACTCAGACAGTTTTATGCATGGAGTGTTTTAAGGTTTTAGTTTTCAAGGCTTCCCAACTGGCAGCTCACAGGTCGGTCCAGCCTGCCAATAAAAAATCTATTTCWTAATATAAAAATAGAATTAGAATCATTTTTTAAATTATTTTATTGTCCAATCACTGAGCTGTTGGCTTAGAGAAACTATGCCCCCCTGAGCATCTATCTATCTCCTGACATTTATCCATCRGGTCACAGAGGCAACAGGTCTAGGAGAGAAACCAAGACATCCCTCTCCTTTAGAAAACTTTCYAGCTCATCCTGGGGAACCCCGAGATGTTCTCAGGCCAGRGAGGATACATAATCCTTCCTGTGAGTCCTRGGTCTTCCTCTGGGCCTCCTACCTGTGGGACATGTTCGGAACACCTCTAAAGGGAGGCGTCCTAATCAGATGCCCAAACCACCTTGACTGACTCCTTTCGATGCAGAGGAGCAGCGGCTCTACTCCGAGCTCCCCCCGGATTATGGAGCTCCTCACCCTGTCTCTGAGACTGAACCCGGCCACTAGTGCTGGGCGGTATACCGTTTTGTACCGAAAACCGGTTTTTATTTTTGTTATGATATGAATTTTCTTAATACCGGACATACCGGTTTACATAGCCTGAACACGTGCGGAACGTTTCGTCATGGCCGCCAGTGAACTGTTTCCCAGGGGACTCATTTCCTCGCAGCACCGCTTAGCACATTAGCATGCTAACGTAATTGTTGGAGCAACTGACGGCGGCTGGTGTTTCAGCCGCCTTTTTTTTGTCTGGTGTAAAAAAAAACATTGCGTTTTCACCATCGCTGAATGTAGTAAACACCTCTTCAGTGACGTGCACGGTTAGATTTAATGCATTACATTAGAGACGTTAATGCATGGAGACTTTAACGTACTTCTATTTTGAAAAGCCTGGGAGAAAATAGTTTTGTAGTAGAGTTGAGTTGACTGGTGTGCAAGGTGAGTCGTCCTTTTAAGTTTTATTAACAC